GTGAAAGAGAAACCAGGGGAGTTCAAAATACAAGGGCACTTTTCAAAGCAAAAAATATACCAAGTAGGAAGAAACAAAGAGAAATTCCAATGCAAATGAAGTTTTATTTCGTATAGATATTCTAGTAAAAGAGGATCTAAGGACAAACCAGAGTATATTACAAATATTCTAGTGCAGGAAAAAAAAAACTCCAGAAATGGCACAATTAAAGATAAAATTCAGTTATGAAGATAAGACTGTGGCGTGGGGAGAGAAGCCTGAGCCTGACGGGGAGGGGTTCCTGGCAACAGTCCCTGAGGAGCTGAGGGCTTGGAGCTGTATTCTGCTGGCTCACCAAGTGCACTGTCCTCCTTTGTTCAGGAGTTTGATCTTGGTGAAAAGGTTTCAATGAACTATCACTTGAAGATCTAATCATGTTCTGCTGATGTGAGTGTCTCTTGCATTTGTTTGAAAGGTCAAAAAGTTTGGACTTTTCCTGGAAGAACTTAAAACCAAGTTGAGGACTCAACAATAGGCTATATTTAACGGTGTAGCCTGGCACAGCCTGGGTTGTGTGAACTCTTTGTTTCTTGGGTTTCAGTTTTTCCTTTGCTGGATGACGCCTCAATATGGAGAATGTGGCCAGTTTACAGTATGGTTTTTGCAAGATTTAGCTTACTGAGGACTTATTGTTTTGTAACATTTGAAGCTTTGAGAAAGACTTTATATTCTGTCGGTTGATTAAAAGTGAAAAGAATATGCCAGTTTTAAGTATTAATGCTTGAAATCAAATAATTTTTACACATTCAGATACATCCTTGACCTGCAGTAGGGGAGTCATATCAGCCACCCTCCTTCATTTAAAAAAAAAAAAAAATAAGGGTTACTTTTTTTTTTTTTTAAAGAGCGTAATTCTGGTTTTTAAAAAATTATTCCAGATTTGTGATATCTGAAGATGCACTTTAAAAAACAAAAAACTAAATATGTAAAAGCTTAGTTTTTATTTGCTTTATGTACTTGTGTATTAAATTGATGTATAACATGTTTAAAATCCCTGGGAACATTATAATTTGTGAATTTATTGTTATATGTAATTTAAAAATATTCTTCCACAAATGTGTTTTTAAGACCTCAGGGTTATACTGCTTCTAGGACTCCTTACTTCCTGGCTGGTGGCCTCACAGCAAGGTTGGGAGGCTTGTGCCCGATTGATCCTGGGGTCCCAGGGGCGTCTGCTAGGACTCTGCATCTTCTTGTAGTTCAACAGCCCTCTCGTTTTGGTTTTGGCTTTCAACAGTCAACCTTGAAAGATCTTTTGTTTTCTGAAAGTTGAAGAAACTGGCTCAGTGTTTTGACTCTTAGACAATAATTTAATTGTTTGCTGATAATAGGAACCCTTAGTAGATAGTTTCATTTATGAAGTTCTTTATTTTTAAGGGAAGCTTGACATGTTGAAACGATGGGTCAACACAAATCCTGGTTTTTGAAAAATTGTTTTTGAGCATCAAAAAGCTCATTCTTTCTTTTCTGATTTGGCACCGTGTGTTTTTCCTGTGCATTATAACAAAGCTCTGTCCTTTTTAAAAGGAAGACTTAGCAGATTTAATGCTTGAGCTTTTCCTGTTATGACATGCTTAAAGAAATGTCCACTTTAGAAACCTTCACTTTAATATGACGGAATAAACACTATAAAAGTATATTAATAATTCAAAACATGATTTTGACTATCACGGATAAGAATGAATTCCTCTTATATGATAAAGAGTAGAGACTCCAAAACTACCATGTCAACAACTTTAACCCCTGGGAAATAGTTTAATGAAGAATATTTTGAATTCTCATTGTAATATTTACACTTCCTGAGTTATTTTGAATGTGATGTTTTAAACTATCTGCTTGTTTTATTTAAACTTTTTAGTACATTTTAATGAGTGATTCCATGAGAATATCTTTCTACCTTTATTAAATGAGACAGTAGGAAAGTATGACTTGGTTTCCACAGTTGACTTTTAAGCCAGGCTATCAGCAGCACATCTGTTCCACAAAGTTGGGAACATCACGTGTGATTGCCATGTGTGATTGTCTCCTCACAGCATTGCTTAGAACAGTCACATTGGACAATGAGTGGCCAACACCTACAGACCACCTACTAGGGGCAGGGACTCTTCTAAGTGCTTTACGTTTATCAGTTTTTGTTATAAATGTTTAAACATGTTCCCCTTCTCTTCCTGCTTTCCTTCTGCCATCATTCCCTTCCTGCCACTGGCATCCCATGGGACAGAACATTTTAAGAAAAACAGAAGTCAGAAACAAGAGCAGCTGCTGTGAAGACGGTCCACTTAGTTTATGGAGCTCTTCACTGATAAAGGGACACGTGAAGAAAGGGATCAGGAGTTCTGAGGTGGTGTTGGGAGGTGGAGAGGCCACAGCCCAGGAGGTGCCCCTGCACTGAGCGGCTGACCTCCAGCACTGAGGAGGGTCTTCTGTGTGCCAGCTCAGGGCTGCTCCAGACAACATGGCAAGTTGGATGAGGAGACAAGTTTTGCTGCAGATCCAGCAAGAGGATGGGGAATAGTCATTGGATGAGATCAGCTAGGGTGGAAGTGACCAGTTCAGCTGGTGAATAGATAAGAGGTCTGGCTTTAGGAGAGAGGCACACCTGTGTTAAATAAATAGCTTCACCCTGGAAGGATCAGAACCTCATACCCTGGAGGGTGTGAGCAGTCTGCCATCTTGCCTCCTGCTGGTCAGTTGCCTTATCTTTTGAATTTTTGCATTTGTATGTATCTAGGATTTGTTGTTGCTCTTGTTGGTTTTGGAATTTTTTTGGTGCTGGTGATTGAACCCAGGGCCTGGCACTTGCTGAGCACATGGTCTCCTGCTGAGCCTCACCCCCAGCTCCAGGGTAGTGGACATACACTTATTCTGGGTTCTGTCATGGCTTCATTACAGGAACTGTGTGGCATCTAATATGTGGCAGGCCTGGATTTGAATCTCAGCTGTTGGGTGGCCTTGAGTGGGCTCTTGACTGTGAGATGGTAGCAGTGGCCTCTGGAGGGGCTGCAGGAGGTAGTGTCTGTATGTCAGTGTCTCCAACAGTGTCTGGGACAGGGGCTAAAGAGAAGTGACCACAGAGGCGGCAGTGTCTTCCAGACCAGGGAAAGGCCAGAGATGAGACGGAGAAGACCTGCGGCAGTTAGGGTTAGATCCTCCTGCCAGATGGCCATGGTTTATGTTTACTAAATGTGAACTGCTGAGGAGGGAGGGGGTGCTGGAAATGTAAGGTGGGGTGGAGGTTCAACAGGAAGACATGTTTTGAAGTGTAAGTGTCACCTTCCTTACAAGGTCCATGCAAAGGTTTCCAGAGATTAGGCCTTGTCTATTTCTGAGGACAGGGATTCCTGTGTATTTTATGGTTATGTATCCGTAAAACCACATGTTGTTCAGGTTCAATTATTAAAACTCCAGTTTTTCTTGATAGTAAACTCAAAGCGTGTATAATGATGGTCTTTAAAAAACCTTATTGCTCATTATGAAAATTGAATCATCAAAAAGATGTTCCTTTTTGTTCAGTGTTGTTGAGCTTCATCTTTTTGACATAGGACAATTTTTTTATGTTGTCACTGTTTATTTTGAAATAAGAAATTTACTTTTAGAGTTATAAATGTAGAATCAACATTGTCAACAGAAAGACAATCTTTTAAATCATGTCTAAAAATTCCTGGGAAATGCCTATTTTTAAATTTCTAAAAGTAATATTATCATTCTATTTCATTGTGTGTGTGGGGGGGTGAATGTGTGGGTGCGGTGCTGGGGACGAAACCCAGGGACTCGCGTGTGCTGGGCAAGCACTGTACCCCGGGGCTGCCCCGAGCCCTCCACTTCTTTACTTTGACTAATATAATTCCAGAGAATGATCACTGAATGTGTTTTAATACTTTGTTTTTATTTCAAGGAATGAAAATTTTCTAATGGCATATTTTCTTTAGAGAATGCTATGTTGCCTATTCATATATATATAAAATATTATGTAAATACACATAAATTGCATAATCTATATAACAAATGTATGTGTATTTTATATGTACGTACTTACGTATATATCTCATTACTTAAAAGCTACATGAATTTGCTTTATCATTTCTATCTTTGTCGCTGTTTTTGCCACTGTGAACAAAAGACTCAACAAGAACAGCTTTAGAGGAGGGAAATTTTATTTGGCTCATGGTTTCAGAGGTCCAATCCATAGATGGTCCACTCCATTCCTCTGGACCCAGGACAAGCCAGCACATCTTGGCGGTAGGGTGTGGAGGAGGCAAATCGGTCAGGACATGACAATCAGGAAGCAGAGAGAGAGCTGCCTGCACCAGGGACAAGTTATAAACCTCAAAGGCACACTCCAGGTGACCTGTCTGTCTCCTCCAACCACACCCACCTGCCAGTAGTTACCACCCAGTTAATCCCTATCAGAGGATTAGTGCACTGATTAGGCTAAGACTCTCAAAACCCAGTCTTTTTACCTCTAAACTTTCTTGAATTTCTTGCTTTATTGGACACCTAATATGTTTATAATATACCAATGCATATAATATATTAATATATGTATAATATATATTACATATTTTGTGGACACCTAATAACAATGTCTAATAAAAAAGTATGTATAAGAAATACTAAAATATTCTACTTATTTGTTCTGAAGAAATATCAGGGGCTTACAAAAAAGTGTGTTGAATTTCTTTTGACTTATAATTGTAATATTTTAATGAACTTTGTTTCTCATGGATATTTGTATTTTAAGATAATACTAGGGTCTGTAACAACCATTAAACTAAGACAAATTGCAACTTGCTTCACCTGGTGGGAATAAAATAAACTCGAGACATTCAGATATTCATTGTTTATGTCTGTCCTATAAAGTAAGCGAATGTTATTAAAGTAGGACTAGTTTGTCCCTCTTCATGTTATGTACACATTGTTTTTAAAACTTTGAGTCTTATCTGTTGCTATCATTTGAACAGGTGTCTCAATGCATGTACCTACTGCAAAACTAAACACGCCAGAGGAAATTTGGCCAGTTATCCCATTGATGAACTAGTAGATAGAGCCAAACAGTCTTTTCAAGGTAAGTGCTTCTAGAATTGTGCGTGACATTAGTCTTCTTATTTGAAACAGTATTTTAAGTATTATTCACTTCAGATACCTGCTGCTTCAGCTTTCTGAAGTTGACAAATACTGCGGCTTAACTAATAGATGTTATTAGATTTAACCACTTAGGTTAAATCTTATATTTTTCTGCTTTACTGTTTTCTTTTTACTTCACGGTAAAAAGAGCCTTTACACCCCATCTCTAGTCTCCATGGAAAAGAAAAAAAAAAAGTTAAATCCTTCAGCCTCTGAGATCTGAGAGGAATACTCGGATTTCCCTTTTTTTTTTTTTGGTGATTTTCTTGACAATTTAGAAAACAGAGCTAGTAGGGTGTCCAGGAGTCTCTGAAGGAAAACAGAGGTTGCCCATCCAGGGATAGAGGAGGCCACTGTTCTTCTCTGTGGGACTGTTGGTTCAGGGAAGAACGGTCCTGACGGGCAGATCTGAGGGACAGAGTGCTCTTGAGTTGTCCCTTGCTGGCAAGTGTGATTGGCTGGTATCTCTGAGCGTGGAGGGAGACTTATCTTTAACATGAGTAACTGTGGTATTGACACATAACTGCTTAGACATGAACTTCCTCTTCTGTCCTTGTTTATAATGTGTGTGTGTGTGGAACAGTTTTGTCATCCTACATCAGCTAATCTATTGTCTTATAATCTTGTGGGCTAATAGTTATTGGCAATGTGCTTTTCCTTTGAGCAAGTGGCTTGGAGGGCTGCTTTCAGTACCTCATACCCTGTATCTCAGAAAGTGTGCATTCCAACTCCTTTTCTATAAAGTCTAGTCTAGCCAAAGCTTTTATCAACACTAATTTGAATGTTTCTTTTAGTAGAGAGAAATAGACCCTTCGTTGATTTATTGACTCCTCCCTACATTTTTTTTTTCTGATTTTATATCCTTATTCTTACCTTGAGTGTTCATACTGAGCTTATTTTGAATAGAAACAGGAGACACAGTGAGTCTCATTGCAAGTCAGAGGAAGGCCGGGATGAGTGTCTTCTCTGCAACATGAAGACTTGAAGGATTTTTTCAGAAGGGGCAAGAATTCACCTAGAAACCTAATTTATGCATCTGGTGTTTTTGCCAATGTTCTTATCTACTGCTTATTATTCCATATATCTGTCAGTTTATGAGGATATTAAACATAGGTGATTTATCTACTAACTACTGCAAATTAGAAGGCATACAAATTAGTACTTTTTCAACATTGTGTGTTTTCAAGTGCAACCACATATAATTTTTAGAAACTTTCTACTTTATTGTACTTGAAAATTCAATTGATAAACCTGATTGGCCAAATTGTTATATTGTATATATGTAAGAATATGGAACAACAAATCCCACCACTATGTAGAACTGTAACATACCACTAAAAAGGGGAAAAAAGGAAAAAAATCCAGAAAAAAACACACCATGAGTTGTGGAAATCATGATTCAAATTCAGTGTTCACAAGTAAAGTTTTGTTAGAACACACATACAAAGAAAAATATAACCTGTACAATGGTGGTCTAGGGAGAGAAACTATTTTCTTCATTTCCTGGTATCTATCCTTACTGGTAACTGAAGCTAATATTTGATATGATGGCTTCCTGACTTTTTGTGGACACAGTTATGTTTTATATATATGATGGGGGGTGGGGGAGGAAACATAATTGCTTTGACCCAGTTGGAGAATTCTTCTAAAGACATCCAGTGTAACCCTCTGTTTCTTTAGCACTGTCCTCTGGGCAACAGAGGTATACTGTGTTTCTTCAGGAGATGTCAGTTATGAGTTAAGGTTTTCGAGTTCAAATGAGTTGGGCCAGTTAAGGCGAGTGATTCAAAGAACTTGCCAGAAGTTAGCGGTTTTGTGTTGTACTACACATGAGATTATTGAAATACCCTGAGAATGACATTAGTGATGATCATAAAATGACAGCTTTCTCTGTTACTTCTAAAATATGTTGAATGGAAACTTCTCTGTATATAAACTAGGTAGTATGACAGTTACCCTTCATTTTCTAAATTTGGGAAGCGCAAGTTCATGATAAGGATGGGCTTATCCCTTACCACTGTAGGAAACATCAGTCTATTAGCTCACATTTTAAAGATACCGAGTTGCTAGCATTATCCTTCCTCCCTCCCTTCCCTCTCTTCCCTCCCTTCCCTCTCTTCCCTCCCTCCCTTCCTTCCCTCTCTTCCCTCCCTCCCTTCCTTCCCTCCTCCCTTCCTCCCTCCCTCCCTCCCTCCCTTCCTTCCTTCCTCCCTCCCTCCCTCCCTTCCTTCCTTCCTCCCTCCCTTCCTCCCTCCCTCCCTCCCTTCCTTCCTTCCTCCCTCCCTTCCTCCCTCCCTCCCTCTCTTCCTTCCTTCCTTCCTTGGCTGGTCAGACCCGGGACATTGCTCGTGTCCTTCCATGGAGCTACAGCCCCAGTCTGGAAGAGTTATCTTTTTTTTTTTTTTCCCTTCATAGACATTGGGATTTTAATAATCTTATAAAAATTCCTGTTTGAGTTTTAAAATTGTTCAGCATAATTATAAAGGTAAATATGAGAAATAACCCATTTTCTTGTTTTAGTTTTTTCTATATTTAGTTCTTTAATAATTCAGGTGTTAATGGTAAAAACCCCTTGCATTCTGTGTTCTACCATGACTAGCTTGCCTGCCTATAATGAGTTCACAGCATGACTCTGTGAAAGTTGCTCAGAAATGAAAAGTCTAAATATATCGTCAGCAAATTTTAGGACTGTTTCAGGCCCCACACTGTCAGTAGTAGTTCAAGTTCCTATCCTTATGGTGGCATTTTCTTTTCTAAACTTTTCAAATTGCTACTATGTCAGCCACACACATTGGTCTTTTTTTAAAGCTATAAAAGTGTGTGGAATATGGATTGGAACTTGGGTCTTCTGACATCATACAATGTGCAATAAAATCACAATTTCCTATAGAGAAGCATATTTATAAAAAGTTTTTATTAAAATTTATTTTGTAGTATAATGCTCACCAAGGCACGTGAGCATTCAGTAGAGAGGGAAACAATCACAAAATTGCCCTGTATGTGAAAGGGCTTCCAAGAGAACTAAGATCATGCCAATCATGCATCCAGCTGCCGAAAATGAGAAAGAGTTCAATAAAGTTGAATGGATAGCATCAAAGTGAAACAAATTTCTAAAAAGAAACCTTAGTTTCTCTCATATATATACATATATGTGTGTGTGTGTGTGTTTTAAGTTTGACATATTACACATACACGGAGCATAACTTATTCTAATTAGATTCCATTCCTGTGGTTTTTCATGATGCGGAGTTTCACTGCCGTACATTCATATTTTAGGATAGAAAGATGGTAGAATGTATCTGATATAACTCCCCCTTGGAATTTCAACAATTACTTTTTTCCTCGTAGTGTGGTTTTCATTTTTGTGGCCCGACCTGCATCTGAGTGCAAAATGCAAAATCCAGGTCACTCTCTGCATGTCATCTTAGTCCCACTGGGAGTGATCCTCTGCCCTCCTGACCGACCTCCTCACTGCCTCCCCTCTTCTGATGCTGGTTTAAAAACATGCCTGGCCTTAACCGTGTTCTGGGGCCTAAGGCTGCAGGATGTGACCTGGCTGCATTTCAGATAGCTAGAAAAACATGTCAAATGGTGACCAGGACTTTGTTAGGGCCAGAATGAATTTGCAAGCTGGTGTTTTCTAGGATATTTGTATTGATTTTTCTCCAGCAGCTAATCGGTCAGTTTCAGTTGTGGAGGTGGCGGAGCAAGCTTCTCAAGTGTGCTGGGCGAGTGGTGTGGAAACGCCACCTTTCACTGCTGTCTCTGGAATCAAAATGGAGAGATGATGAATGAGTTGTTTTTATAGCTATCCTGTGCGACTCTAGAGCTCATTTGTGTGCTGCTGCTTTTTGCTCTCTGGTAATCTGAAAATCCTCTGCAAGATAGCTGGCATAAACCAATTATGGGATGGTCATGTAAATTAAGATGAAATGTTCAGAATAGGAAGAAAGTATCCGGATGCCCAGGGATTTCACTATTAATGTTGGAATTAAGACAGAATTCTCTTTCAAGACTTGAGAAGAATGCTGTCCATGGAATACAAGATGAATTACAAAATGGAGCTGGAAACATTGATTATCCTTTTAGATAAGGAAGGACATGAGCAGTATCTGGTTTTGCATGGTGAAGCTGCAGATGGTTGAATTGCATGGTTCGCGCCACGCCCCATTTGACTCATCACCTTTAGTCATTAGTATATGAGGATTTTGATCCAAGACCAAAGAGAGGCCAATAATTGCGTTCTATTAGTGTATATGGCAGTTAAATTCAATGTCTTTTTAATTCCTTTATCTTTTCATTTGGGCTGTGTTCAAATAAAATTGAGAAATCCATTTCTTCTGTAGGATGAATGATGTTAATTTACATGTCTGTTATACATTGTCAACTTCCAAATCGGATTTTGGGCAGCTTGTATTAAATAATTACATGTAATAGACCATGAAAATAAAAGTTGTGTAAAATGCAGTACTGTGTTTTGAAAAGGGAAGATAATTTTACCAATTGGTGAATTCAGGTTCTACAGAAGAATGGAGAAATAGCATGGTTTACATAATTTGATGTGAGCATGTGAAAGGAAATAGGGATTACCACGAGAAGCTTCCTGTTCCTATGCCCCGAATACTAGGAGGAAGGTTTCATACATCCTTTTCTGAGCGACACTGAATAATGCATTAGACATGCTTTTAACTGGTAACATGTGGAAACTCTGGATGTGTTGTCTATATGGCTTTTTCTTCCATTGTTTTTTACAAAGTCCAAGATATATAAAAAAACCTAACTTTTAAAAGCTATTCCATACAAAAACATGACTTCAAGTAGTCATTTTTAGCCAGGCCTGGTGAAGCACACCTTTAATCCAGTGGCTCAGGAAGCTGATGTAGGAGAATCATAAGTTCAAGGTCAGTCACTAAGTTGCTGTGAGACCCTGTCTCAAAAAAC